CCCAGGGAGATGCTGGCCAACAGAACGAACGGGGCTGGGTGGGGGGGCGGGGGGGCGGGGGGGTGTGGGCAGGGGAAGCCCCCAGGACAGGCGAGGGGACGCGCGCAGGGGAACAGCTGGCACTGATACCGACCCACTTTACCTTTGTCGAACGGGTTTTGCTAAAGACGTTCCAGAACCTCAGGGTTTCATCCCCAGCACCAGTGACTATGGCCTCTCCATCAGGGGACATGGCCTGCAGAAGGAGACAGACCCCCACTGTCTCTACGCCCCGCAGGCAGCGCTTCGCGGACAGAGCCGCGGACGGAGCGCTCTCGGGGAAAACCCCAGGCGGCCTCCCTCCCGCCCGCCACCCGGAGACGCTCTTCTGCGTGAGGGGACAAAGAGTATGTTGGCTGAAGCACAAGACGTCTTCTTCCGAAAAGAAAAAAGAAATCGAGCGGTCTGCAAGAGAGGGGACCTTTCTGCAAGACCTGACAGATGGTGGTCTGGTGAAACGCTCAGTGATCACGTGAGTGCCGGGACCCAGATCCGCAGAGATTTCTCTCCGCGTGTGTCCCGGAGACACCCGGCTGAAGGGAGGGACGGAGGGCAGAGGCGCAGCGCAGCAGGTTCCCGCCGCCGGTACCACGTGACCTTGGCGGACAGGAGCCCGCCCTGCTGTGCAGTCCTGGAGGCCCCCCGGGCCGTGGAACCCCGACACGGGGCCGCACGCTGCCTCTCGGGGCGCAGGGCGGTGGTTTCTGGGCGGCCACAGCACGTCTCCCAGAACCCGGGGGCTGGGGGTCGGGGTGGGGGTGGGGGTGGGGGGCAGACTCACCAGGTACAGGACCCTGTACGAGTGCCCGGTCAGCTTGGCCACCTGGGTCAGGGACGGGTACTTCCACACCAGGATCTGGTTCTGCGAGTAGCCGTGCGTGCTCACCTGGGGGGCGGAGAGGGTGCTGTCGGAACCCGGGCCCCCCGCTTCCAAGGCCCAGGGCCCGGACGCAAGGACATCTGAGCCGGCACCTCAGACTCGCCAAGCGAGCGACGCACAGAGGCCACAGGTGACAAGGTAGAGAGAGCACGGTCACAGCCCCTGCTCCCCGCACTCTGGTTGGTGACTGGACAGTGGGACACACGGCGCCTGACAGCCCCGGGAGCCTCTCTAGCGGGCACTGGGTATGGGGGTGTGGGCGTCTGGGTCAAGGACGGGCACGTCCGGGCACGTCCAGGCACCTCTGGTCTGCACGACGAGGGTGACGAGGGTGGCGGGGGCCTGGCTGAACTCAGGACCCCATGGGAGGCCTCAGCGGGGCCAGGGCTCCTGCCTCCCCCGCCTCCCGCCCGCACCCCCAGGCTCCTCTGCCCCTGGCTCTTCGCGGAGAGGCTCCGAAGGCCGTGTAGCGACGAGGAGGGAGGCGCACGCGTGTGTCCCCGCAGGCCCTCCCTGGCCGGCCCCGCACTCACCAGCTCGTTGGCGTGCTTGGACCAGGCGAGGTTGCACACCTGGGAGCCCGTGTCGATGCACTGCAGTGGCTGCCCCGTGAGCGTGTTCCAGAAGCGGATGCAGCGATCAGCCGTGCCACCACCAGACGCCAGCAGCCCGTGCTGGTGCGGGGACCAGGCGATGGCCTTCACGGCCGCCAGGTGCTCCGTGTACTGCTGCACGGGGCTCAGGCTCGAGTGGTTCCAGACCAGCAGCTGCGGGGGCAGTGGCTGTGAGGCCCCGGAGGCCACCACAGTCCGCCCCCGGGGAAAGAACCCGCACAGCCCTCACTCCGTGGGGAGGCCAGGGCCGCGAGGGGCCCGCGGTGCCTACCTTGTTGTCGTTGCCCCCCGAGGCGAGGAGCTGGTGGTCCGTGGACCACTTGAGCCCACACACCTCCTGCCGGTGGCCCTGCAGCCGCCGCTCTGACTGCAGGGGCGGGGTCCGGATGTCCCTCTGCAGGATCATGCGGTCCCGGCTCCCGGACGAGAGCTGGTCAGCGTTCCAGGCCAGCGCCCCTGGAGGCCAGGCAGAGGGCAAGGGAGGCTGAGGCCTCGCCCCCGGGAATCACACCTGCCCCCTGGGAAGCGGGCGGCTTCTCACCAACGCGTGCCGTGTGGCCTTCCAGCATGGACAGCTTCTTTCCTGCAGCTGCGTCCCAGATCTGCACAAAGCCCTTGTGCGTGCCAACGGCCACCAGGTTCCCCTAGGACCGAGCACACGGGGGAGGGAGTGGGCATCAGGCCCAGGCATGGGGACCTCTCCCTCTGCCTCCTCACCGCAGGGCGTTGGGGCCGTTTCTTTACAGATTTCTTTGAACCAAAAGGACACCCCTCCTTGGAACTTTCTGGGGGAACGGTCACACAAGTGCACCGGTTTGTCAAAATCCAGTAGACACTCAGGCTAAACACCTGTGCGTTTCTATCTGCGGCTGCCACGCCAGCTGTGGGGGCGGGGAGAGGCGTGCAGGGGACCAAGTCTGACCCAGAGTCACCATAACCATCTTTACAGGCTGGGGACAGGCAGGGGTGCAGGTGGAGATTAGACTCCTAAAGATTAGACAAGTGACCTCCAGGCCGGCTGCTGGCCCCTCTGGGTCCCCAAAGCCCCCTCAACATCGGGGAGGGCCCCTGCCAGCAAGACTGGGTCATATATTCCTGACTCCGCCCGGCTAGGGGATGGGGCCCACGTACTGACCCGTTCAGACCAGCCCACGGAGGTCACCGAGTCCCCTTCCACCGAGAGGTCACAGAGCCGGGTCACCTGGGGAAAGGGGAAGCGGTCGGTGGGCGCAGACGCACAGCCACCTGTCCGTGCACCCGTCCACCCTCCCAAGCACCCATTCGCTGGCTTACAAACACCAGGGCAACGAGGCCGGGGTGCCTGGGACGCTGTAGGCCAGGAGGGGACACACACCAGCATGGGGATAACTGACCACACAGAGATGGGGCGGGCGCTCAAGTCCCCCTCCCCCACCGCCCTGGGGCAGGCCACAGGCTGCTGGGAGCAGAGGGGCGGCCCTTTCCCTGAGGGGGCTTCACTTGCCCCTTTGAAACCCAACCTGCGTCTGGTCTCATTCCCGAAAACAGCCTACTGCGAAGAGCAGGCCTTGAACCCCGGCAGCTACTCTGACAGATTGGTGGGGTGGCTGCTGATGACCGCCACCGAGGAAGCGGCCCTCAGGGGGGTCCCCTGGCCAGGCCAGGCCAGGCCAGGCCAGGCCAGGTCAGGCCGGGCCCGGGGGCCTTGCCCGGGTCAGCGTGCATGCAGAGGGGAGGCCCCGGGGAGGGCAGAGGGGTGCTACCCCGGCCCCAGAGGTCCCCAAAGTCCCCCGAGCCCCCCCAACCCCCGCGCGTTGGCTCTCTGGCGCCACCTGGCTGGTGCAGGCGCTCCACAGGTACACGCAGGTCCCCAGCCCCACGCTGAGCACATTGAGGGACGACCAGTCCACCAGGTTCAGGTAGAAGTCGTCCTGCAGCTCTGGTGCGTCCAGGACCTTGAAGGGGATCTTGGAGATCTTGCGGGTGGGTTTCCGTGGTGACCGCAGTAGCTTCTGACTGCAGGGAGAGCCCACCGCGTGGGGTGCCGTTGGCGTGACCTGTGGGCTCCCCCTCGTGCTCTCCTGCCACCCACGTGACCCCACAGCTATGGGTGGTGACCGCCGGCCGTTGGGCCGCCCTGAGCTCTGACAGCCACACCACACCCTCTGCCCAGCACCTCCTCCGGGGAGCCCTCCTTGACACCCCTGTCTGGGCCCAGCGGCACTGAGCCTGAAGCGCGTCCCCACTGAGGAAGGTCCCCGAGCCGCCTCTGTACCCCGTGCGCAGTTCTAGGACCAAGCTAGGCTCCCAAGCGCCGCCTGGCTGCCCACCTGCCCTGTTCCAGCCCCCACAGGCCTAGACTCACCTCTTGTTGCTAACGGGGGACAAGGAGTAGGGAGACACATCGTTGCCATCGTCGGGGCTGGAGCGCTTGGTGCTGAGGGAATACTGGAGGCAGGGGAGGGGGGACCCCAGCTGAGCAGAGCCTCAGCCGCACAGCCCGGGGACCTCACACCCAGGGCCCTGGTGCCCCGCGCTGCCAGTGGCCAGGCCGGAGTGCGAGGTGAGTGAGCACTCGGGTCGGAGACGTGGCCCGGGTTCCAGGGATCCAGAGAAGCAAAGCAGGCCTCATGCCTGAGGCCTCCTCTGGACAGCGACTGCCCGGTGCCGGCCTCCCCCTGCCCCACTGGCCGCCAGCCTGCCGGCCCTCGGTCAAAAGACCCGAGCCAGGCTCCTCCCGACACTGCCCTACGGCTGCCCCCAGCCTCGGGACCGTGCACCTGGCACCTGCCCCAGCACTGCCTTTGGAGCAGCAGGAGAGCAAAGCCCCCGGTTCGAGGCCTGGGGCCCGGCGGCTCCCGGGGTGAGCACAGGCCGAGCGCGGGGGGCCGAGCTGGGCAGCCTGCAGAGGGCCTGTGCTGCACGCTGCCGGCAGGGAGGGCGTGCTCACCGTGAACAGGCCCTTCTTCTCAGGCGTGGAGGGCTGCAGCCTTCGGTCCTCCGTCTGCGGGTCCTGCACCTTCTCGATGCCGGCTCCCAGCAGCTCGTTCTTCAGCAAGGCGGAGTAGGCCAGGCCATCTGCGGGCGGGGGCTCTGTAAGGCCTGGGGGAGGGGGAGGGGGCGGGGGGGGGGAGGGGGGGGGGCGGGGGGGGGGGGGAGAAGGCGGGCCGGCC